AATAATAAGAAAAAAAGGACATCTGACGACAGCCAAAAACTACGGCTGTCACAGACAATGAGCTCAGAAAGACCGAAGAGTGCCAAATGTTTATATTTGTACAGACTGCTCATAAGAGTGAACACTGAGTATAGAGCTGAGAAATGTTTGCAGAATGAGCTGTGATGAGCGACTGGTTTGTAGTGAGTGGACGTGTGACTGGTGCGTTAGGGGTTAAAACAATGTGTAATGTCGCCCCCTGCTGTTTTACCTGTATAGGCGTCTGCATGGTGGCCATGGGCTGGTCGATGGAGGTGAAGGCTGAGATGGCTGACATGAGAACGTCATCGCTGACCAACACGTTGCCCTGGACCAGAGTGTGGGTTAGAGGGGAGGGAGGGACTGTGATGTAGGTGGAAACCTGGTGTATGAAAGAACAGTGATACAAACATTGAATACAAGTTTGATGTCATGATATTAAAACTATACAATCCAGTATATCTTATTTTTTATTTTCAGAGCACTGCATCTTTAAGCAGCTGCAGCTACATCTACAACAAACAACAAATAATTCTTGTTTTGATATTTTCTGTCACTGTCGACATCTGTTCCTCTATTTGGTTCTTTTACCAGTTAATCACTTTTTGCCTAAACTAACCTACTCATATATAAAAACATGTCTACGCTCACCTGTCTGTTGGCAGGGGTCTGTGGTCCTGAGCTGATTGAGGGGACAGACGTGTAGGCGTTGGTGGAGGCCAAGGATACTGTGGACAGGGAGGGGGCGCTAGACTGGCACTGCTCTCTTTTGTGCATCATGAAGGCTGGCAGAGAGTTGAACTGTTTCTTACACTTCCCGCACAGGAACACGTCTTCGTCGTCTGCAGGAAGGACAAACGCAGAGAGATTGAGGCCAACACCACAGGAAATGATGGAGAGATGGAGCAACACATCTACACTGCAATACAACACAGTCATAACCTCCAGTATTTACAGAAAGAATGTCAGTTTTAATAATATGACTGTATCCACCTATGGTCATGAGGGGGTCTAGGAGAGATTTGATGAAACTTATATCTGAATGTCTGTTGTTACATGAATTGTATTTGCTGAACGTACCCATAGACTGGATGGTGGGCGTCCCGGAGACATTCTGGTTGTTTGGGTCGGGAACTCCGCCTTGGCCGTCCAGCAGAGACTGGACCGCTAACACAGTCTGGTTGTCCATCCCTGAAGAGGAGAAGGCAGAAGAGGATGTTGGTGGAGGAACAGAGACACAAACGCACACAGGTCCGACAATATAAGCATAGTTTTAAGTATCTTATGGGGCGGCTGTGGATCAGGAGACAGAGTGGATCATCAATCCACTCTTCAACATACTGTGTGTCCCAAGTGTCTTTGGGCTGCACTGTGAGTGGTCATCAAGACTAAATACAGACCATTTACCATGTAAGGGTCAATAAACCAAGAGGGGAGATCAGTGTCTGACCCTGAAGATGAAATCATATCAATAAAAAAAATCATATTGTGTGATTTAATTGAAGATTATAAGTTTGATTTAACGTCATGCAGTCACTGCAACTCTGTAGTTGCCTTGAAACAAATGAGCGGTCACTTGTGTCTTAGCGGGGCTAGTTTTCCCTTACCATTTAAAACAAAGGGTGATTTTTCATTTGAAACCATGACTCTGACATTATAGATTCCACCTGCTATTGAAATAACATCATCAGTCTCTTCGAAAAGAAGCTGCAACCTGCAAACTGGCCTTTGCCTTGTTTCTTTTTGTTATGCTTGTATAAGTGTGAAATTCTATGTCTGTTTCTTTTATTTGAGACCTGCTCTATGGAAGGTGCTATTTCAAATCAACTTTATTTATAAGTGAAGGAATAAAAAATAAAAATGATGACCTACACCTCAGGAGAATGACACAAAGAGTCGCTGTAAATCCAGTCTGTGCATTATACATATATAGTGAGTGACCTGATGCAGAGACACATGGAGTGTGAACAGCAGGAAGCAGCTCACATCATTCCACTGCCTGACTGCAACACACGATCACACCAGTCTGTCCAGAAGCTCTAAGCCATGATCAATGATCAATCTGTTGGTTTGTTTACAGTACAGACATGGATGTTGTGATTGTTGTCACACATATTAACGCATTCACGCGGTTTGTGGTGAGTTCCCTGTGCATCAACATTGACCCGGTATATTGTCGTTGATTCAAATATACATTCAGGTTTGATTCTCGTTGCGGTGACGCGGTTAATAAGAAAACATTCCCACCTTCAAGCACTTCAAATATTGCCTGCGCCATCTTGTCGCTCTCCTGCTGGGCGATAGGTGCTCGATTAGCAGAGGCTGCCGGTTCACGTGCACCACCCAGGGAGTGTAAATCTATATATTTATGATGATTGTCGTTTCCGCTCAGTACGACGATTATAGACACAAAGACGATATTACATCTATCGATATTCACAATACACAGCTGAGGGTGTGGAAATATAAACCAGCTGAAAAAACACTGTGTTTGTCTGACGGCTCGACATAGAAGAACTGAAGTTACACAGATTGGCGTTACTCCACATATAACCATTTAAAACTCTGAAAGAACACAGTTAAATGTGGAGTAACGCCAATCTGTGTATGAATAACCAGAGCATAATCTAATCTAATCAAACACATGCTCATCTCAAGTAAATTAACAGAACGATCCCAGTAATTCCCATTTAACCGTGTAACTTCAACGCATCTCTAAATCAACAAATCTGCGCTCGGCAGAGTGATTGACAGGCGTTTGCTCCAATCATACAGCGTCCCTGCAGCCCGGCGGAAGCTGCCGCGTTCTGCCCAATGGTAGCCCTCCAATAGGCACACGTGCCCATTTCGCGGTAAAAAAGATTTCGCGCGAAAACCGTCCGACCCTTGTTTAGACGTGGATCAGCTGGGACAATAACAACAATAACAGCCGATAACGGGGTTGGGTCGGCGCTTGTCGGACGTGGACCGCTCCCGGTGTGAACAACCGAAGCACCGGCGGCTGCTCCCCGAGAGGATGCGTGTGTATTCCGCCGCTTTATCTCCTGTTCGCTCCAGTTTTGTCGGACTGCTTCCTGCGTGCCCCAAACAAAACGAGGGGGTAGAAGAACTGCGGCTAATAACTTAGCTAACATGCTAACCTGCCACACATCACCCGAGTAGACCGAGCTGCGGGCTCTCCGCTGTGCTGAGTGGCGCTTCCACACGTGTGCTGTCAAGTGGACCTGTGAGACATGGCGACGGGCTGTGTACAGTAGCTATTTCACGTCGATAGCTCACTTCTGGAAAGCTGCGACAAAGTTTTCCCAGCCTGTAAAATAAGCCCCGTGTGTGGTGTTGGCGCACAGGCTCGAGCTGTGGAGGTGCACATGTGTGACCCGGAGGCTGCTGCGGGTTGTTGGTGAACTTGTGTCGGTGTGTTGTTAGTACAGTAGCTAGCTCGTTAGCCGGGCTGTGGTGGCTGTGTTGAGGGCACAGGGTGGCCGAGGCCTCGCGGCTTTACTGTACTGACAGATGAAAACAAAAGGTTAGCACGCTAGCTGCTAACCTCCAGCGTTTATTACCCTCTCGGCCAAAGTGCCACTATTTACCCTGATAATCACATCCGCCGCTGAGCCTCGGGGCGCAGGCTTAGTGTACATTTAGCAACATTATTTGATTTGCTTAATTTCCTGTTTGGCATCATATCCTGCCTTAACCATTACTACATCTGATTTAGCACGTTTCCCGTAAGAGGGGTAACTTTGTTGGAATGATGTTATAATGTGTTTATAGGATATTTTGTAGAAACAGTAGCTGGGACCCTCAGAGGAAGACACCTCGTGTTGAGATGTTGGAGCTTCCTGTGATCGCCTGCATGAAAACTTCCAGCAGCTTTCACCACCCTTGCTTAAATTCCCAGATCGCAGCAAATGCAAAGCGCCGTGGATCCTCGGTCTAACCACAGCATCTTAGTTTGAGTCCTGCAAAGGGGGCCACTCAGTGACGCCACTGCCATGTCAGAGACTCTGATCACGGGCCAGACGTCTGAGGACCTGTTGGCCGACTTCGAGACGCTGCTGAACTCTGGCAGCATTGAGCTGGGCGAGGACCACCAGATAGTGATCATCACCAGCCCTGGTAGTGAGGGGCTCCACCCGGCCATCGCGCCCACCAGCACAGGGGAGATCCTGCTGTTCGCCACACCCCAGGGCCCGGCTGATGTTGGGGTCCAGGACAAGAGGCGGCCGGCTCTGGGGAGACCTCCGGTGAGGAGATGGGGGAGGTAGTTGTGGGAGGAAGTGAGAGAGTGAGAGGGGAAGTGTTGAGATGAGGAATATACATATTTATAGATTGCTTGGAAATGTTGACACACAGCAGAAGTGAAAAAGTCAGTCCACCTGTTGCTTATAAACATTTTGTTTTGCTCTAAGTTCATCATTTTAGTAACATGTAGTTTGCATGAGGTGCTTTGAAATCTGTGCATTGGGATCTTTTTAGGTAAAGAGGAAGTTGGACCTGGATAGTGATCATCAGTATGTTAGCACCACTCGAGCGTCTATTGGCCAAGCACCACCTTCGACACCTGCTCCTCCCAGAGGTACAAACACACACTCAACACACTACAGTGTGGCTTGGGTCACAATTTTCAGTCTGAACCCAAGAGAAAATAAGACATCTCGAACCGTGCAGGAATCTGATGTTTTCCTAATTACAGGCACATACAGCGTAAAAAAAAAAAAAAA